TGTGTGCCCCCCACCGCCCCCTGTGGGGGGGGGGGGGGGGGGGGGGGCGCTGATATGATTTCTGCTGAATCCATCTGACTTAAATGATGAGAGATTACCCCACTAAAATCTCTTTGGTGAATGACGTCAAAAAGCCCGCTCCCGAGGGGGGATCAATGATATCCATTCTTCACGTGGACCGTTGCGTATGACTCCGCAGAGATCTGCTTCACATTGTCAAAGGGAAATGTGTCCATTGCACAAATGCCGTTTGTATCCTCTGTTCATCAGTTTGTTTGCGTACGCGTTTAGGCTGGAAGATTATACGGTGGAACTTCTGCCATTTATGGGTGGACCATCATTTTGAGAAAACTAAAACACCCTTAAAATTGCACCAAAACCTCGGGTTGAGACCCTACGAGTGCAATCTGTTACGTTGTTGTTGCAAGTGAAAATAAAGATCAACATGATGGCAGCTACGGCAAAGGAACTGATTGCAACGGAGAGGAAAAGTAACAGGAACGACGTGCGTGCATCTGACCCTGGAACTGGAAAATCAATACCAGCGTTTCCCCCAATGGACTTTGTTCAACCTTAGGGGTTCTCCTCTCAGGGTTTCAGAAGTAAAATTAGCACAAAACCTGATTCTGTAAATGTTTAGTTGGATGTTAAAGTGTAACAATGATGCAGGTTATTTATTTTAAAAGTCACTGCCATTAGCAAGCTTCGGTGGCTTAAACCAATATTTTAGTTTTAAAGGTTGCCCAATAACTAGGTCAAAAGGAGTTTAACTTTGACATGCACATCACATGAGACAAATGTTTTTGGGGGGGGGGGGACTGCACAAAGAAGGTCAGTAGAAAAAAAAAAGTCTTAAAAGTTTTTTAAAATTGCAATTGTGTTCAGGAATCTGATTGCATCATCATGCAAATGCTCTTCGACAAAGATTTCCATTTGTCATCCATAAAAAAAAAAAAGAATCACAATGGAATAAATGAACTCACCATCAACCCCATTGTCATCCGCACTTTGTTAAGTAACAGGAACTGCCCCAACAGGTGGTAAACCGAGCTCCCCCTCTGGCCAATCCACCTTCATCGAATGCTTGATGAAGCAGGTTTGAAATGGAGCCTGAAACGGCAGCAGAGAGAGCCCAAAGTCCCGGCGATTAAGAAGAGGAAATCCCAACAATGGCTGTGATGGCGACGATTACTTGAAACTGTGAGACAGGCGAGATGAGGAAGATGAGAAGCTGGCCTTTGTGTAAGAGTCTTGCTGGAGGGGTGGGAGGCACCTCAATCAGTCAGAGTGTGTTTGCGTAGGTGGATATACATTATGTGTGCCCTGAGACAAATCCACAAGGGCTAGTCAAGCAATATGCTCACATTTTACCCAAAAATAACAGCTTTCAATAATAAGAATTAAAAAAAAAAAGCATTTTCAGTTCACAGCTGAGGATGGGCGACATTGCTGTTGAGATCGTATCGCAGAATCTGTCAATCTAGGACAACATACGCACATTGGTGCAAATTTGGAATCGGCTCACTCTGATGTGCGCTCTGCACGTCTCCGTTCTGCATGATGGAAAATCATTTCCCGTGGATTTTTTTCGTTTGTGTTTCGCGTGCATTCAGGCCATATAGGTTCAACGACTGAATACTTGTGAATGAGGAATTTTAATCCTGATTGCATAAAATTGTAGCTTTGTCCATGCTTTGTTTTTTGAACGAGGCTGTGTCCTTTTTTTTCCCCTCTCAGTGTCACAAGGTCTAAAAGTTGTCATGGGGCCACCGTAGACTTTAAAAGCACAGCTTCAAAAGTTGCTGGATATAATGACTTGGTCTTACATTATTCGCAGGCATGAGGAGGCTCTCAACAGGATGTGACTTGCACGAAAAGGGGATGTACGATGAACGCAAATTTCTCCAAGTGAACTGTGGGTGCAGTGTGTTATGTCGCATCACAAGATCTGTCGACATTATTAAAGAGTGGGATCAAACATAAACATTGTTGTCCTCCAAAAGGACATCATTGAGGAATTTTATGCAACACAAGGGACTTTTTTTTAATACTTACAGCAGTAGTGTTTCAGCATTCCAGTGTGTTCAGTCTGAATGCGTCTTTCTCAAAGGGCTTAGCTGCAACAAAGAGAGTATAAATTGTAAGAAGTTGGGAGAAGAGAGAAAAGTGAAGTTAGTAACGTTAGCTGGCTCACATTGACGGCAATTCAGTTCAAGCCATCGTCACCCCACCTGTTTTGTTTCCCAATTATCTGAGGTCTCTGAAAATGATCCCAACCAGATATTCTCTTGTATGGGGGCTGTGATACAAGCAATTTTCAACTCACACCACTTTCTGGAAAGTGATTAGCCAAACAATGAAACATGCCGAACAAATGGTCTTGTTGACGCGTGGTCAGTATTTCATTTCTTCAAGTTTTGCTTAAAAAAAAAATATATATATATTTATATATATATATATATATATATATTTTTTTTGGTTTTTTCCACCCAGCGTCAAACTATCTCTATCGTCTTATTACTATAATGGAAAATTTGAAGGGCATTTTAACATTCTTAACTCTGAAAAAATAATACAAATTGATAACTTCACTTTAAATCATATTAAATCCTCATGAGAAAAGACTGAGCTGGGGAAAGAGTCTGCAATATTTGACCCTAATATTCATGGTTAAATGTATTTCAGTTTCAAGCATCAGGTGCGGTCGCTTCAATTATAATAACTTCAGTTGTTTTTTTTTTTTTCCCCCTATTTCTGCAGCATCTCTCTAAGCAATCTGAACATTTTTCAAAGAGAGAAAAGATTAATAATGTTTGACCTTCTTACATGAGCACATTTTGCTCAAGGTCTTTTTTCATTGACTGAAGCTCCATAAAGTGCTGTTTGTGTCCGCCGATTATTTAACCGAAACGAGGTCTCTTGGCTAGCGCAACTGTGGTGAAGTCACTCTGTTCTCGTACCGCGGCAAACACAACATTGACATAATACGATAAGTGTGGGTATAAGTACCAAATATGTATTGATGAAAAATAATATGGGGCTGTAAAATATTCTATGGGCTAATTGATTGTCTGGGTCAGCGAGTCTTCAAACTGGGTTCAAGGGCTCCACTCATTCCTGCCTTAATTTTACAGTCGTGCAACCGGGGTCCAAGGCGTCCACTCATTCCTGCCTTAATTTTACAGTCGTTGAAGAATAGTATGTGACAAAAGAGGGAGAATTGCCAATTTGGCAAAGGTAGAGACTCCCTCGGTCTCCAAAGGTGATAAGGTGAGGAGACTACTACATAAGCGCTTCATTTGAAGCATTTTATGCCATTACTGTAACCTGAGACAAATAAGCTTCGCACCTCCTTACTGACAACCAACTGTGACCCTTTCCTTCAACTCTGTCAATATGCCGAGCTGTTATCCTGGCAGCAAAGTGCCGCTGTCACTGCAGGAGCAAACTTATTTCTTTACACCGTGTCAGAGTGCAGCCCTCAGAGAAAAGCAACATTTCCGCAGAGACAAATACAGACGGACAGCACGACAAAGAAACGTAGCGCGGTAGAGAGCGTGAGCGAGGACACGGTCTTGTTCTGATTTGCCATGAAGATGAATGACATCACCGAACAAGAAGCCAGAATCTGTTTATGGGTGTCAGAACCCCCCCACCCACCTCCCAAAAAAAGACAGCAAACCACAATTCCCCCAGTCATATTTTATGGTTAATTATAAAATGTTTGAAGATAGTGGCTGTCCCTTCAAAAGGCTAAATGGATTGGCGTGGCTGAGAAGCTACAGACGAGACTTTGGATGGGTGTCATCGCCACAAGGTTTGTGAAAATGTTTCAAACACAAAAACGCAAACCGCGCATTGGTTCCAACACGGTGAATTCTTGTTAACTGTTATGTTAATTTGCAATTGGACACAGGATCTGCCGAATTGTGAAATACCCCCGGCCTTCCCCGATCCCAGCCTCACTGATGCGGATCTGATGCCAGATTTTGAGCTACTAGTTTGTGTCAGTGCATTGAACACGTTCCGGCTGCGCTGTGTAGTTTTCGCAACAATTTTCAAACAGTAAAAGCTGTACTCCACCAAGAATGGAACAACAGAATGAGACTGACATGCTAAGATCGTTGAGGTTCTCAGTCAATTAGTTTCACTCGCATGCATCCAATTTAGAGACATGCTTGTCTGATTTGTCTGCCCTGTCAGCGTTTCTTCAACCTCTCAAAGCCTCACAATGGGCGGTCAATGCACAAATGACACGCGCCGAGGCCGTTTGACACATACGGTATACCCAGACATTATCCCGCCTCGGCACGGTGGCCGCAATCAGCGTCAAATCACACCGTGCGCAGCATATCCAACCACCCTCCAAATGCGCGCGATAAGATGGAGTGCTCTTCTCCGATAGGTGCCTCATTGTTTCCTTATTTCGCCACTCCGCTCCGCCATCATCCCTCTAAGCAGACACTCAATCTGTTTTGTGCGGTCATTAGCTCCGCAGCCAAAGAGCGACGCACACAATACATGCCCCCCTTACATCGATTTAACATCACGCGCCGCCTGCCAGTGATGTACGAATCAGCTTTGCCGTGCTTCGGATTTTTCAAAAGTGATTGGAGGGAGCTCATTTTGATGTTTGTGACGCCCTGACAAGAGGCACTGGGCAGCTGGCGACAAGAAGGGAGACATGGCATTTCATCGATGATTCCTTTCGCGCTCGGAAAAGTGGGCAGTCGTGGCAAAGCTCACTTTCCAGAAGGGAGCTTGAATCCACAAAGACAGGAAATCTGGCACTGATTATAAGGTGGCAGCCACTAAGTATCCGAATGTTTACACTTGAAACAGGAACACGGTTCTTGAAAACAGAATTCCGGAGGGAAAACGGATTACCTTTGAGTACAGTGTTTTCGTCCTTTCTATGGCGGTGACCTCATCAAAGTTGAATAATATTTATACCTTACTATGTTATCTGTTATCTTAAAACAGTGTTAGAGTGATGTGTATTTCCTTTCAAAACATTTCAGTGGCCGTAATCCAGTATTTAGCGTGGTAGAAAGACAATCGGTGTTTTAAAAATATATCTTTATACCATTTCACGTGCTGTCAAGTGCAGCAAATTCAGTGCAGTGAACTTCTAAATCATGTCGCCGTATTGTTTCACGCGACAGTCAGCAGTCTGCTGCATCATTCAATAGGTTGTTAGGTCGACCAACAAAATTGAATGACGCAAGAGCCGTCTTTGATCTTTCATCGGTGCCGTTTCGATTTAGCGTACACTGTGCAATCGTGGCAGCGCGTCTCCACAGTCGTTTTGCTTCTGAAACTTTTCATCAAACTTTATATAACTCAATTTGATGTTTGGCTGGCGTCAGAAGGTGCGCTTTGCTGCTCTTCTCGGGTCTTCGTCATGCTCAGTTTCCAGGCAACTGAAGGGCACGCTGATGAGAGCGGCAAAGCGTAAGAAGAAGACGGCTGGCAAAACTGCCGCGAGAACTTGACAACCTTAATGAAGACAGGCAAGGAAACAAAGGCGATAGAGACAAAGACGCAGAAGCCGGAGATCACTTGGGGCCAGGAGGCAAAGAAGGAACGGCGCCACGGTGCAGAACATTTCTCCTTGGTTTTGGCGACCTTTGTAATTTGATCCGAGGGAGCGAGTCAGCACGCTGGCCTCGCTTCGACATGATGTTTGCCACTCACTGTGAGCAAGACTCACTCGAAGCGAGCAGTGCACCGCATTAAAGACTGCGAATACAATAAAATGCCAAAACAATGCCGAGCATCATGCTGAGTGGAAAGCCGAAGAATAAAAATGTGTTTCAAGACGAGTTTTAAAGATGGACGCGGTGGGGGCGAGCGTCTTAACGGAAGGTCATTCCAAAGGGAGGGATCAGCTAGGGGAAAAGCGCAATCCCCTCTGAGCTTAGTCCTCGGAACCGCACACCCAAACTATGCTACGAATGCAGCTTAGAACCACAATCATTATTAACACTTAACGGAAGCCAAAATTCTTTACTGAAAATAACTAAAGCTGAAAAATAAAATAAAAAAAATATGAACAGAAACGACTTGTTACATTTATAAATCAGTAAACCTAACCTGCTTTAAAAAGTAAAACTAACTGGAAAAAAAGACAACTCAGAATGAAATAAAAAAATTAACTAGAATGAAAAATTCCAAACTATTATAAACCTAATTAAAAAAAAAAATCTCCATTGTTTGCGAAGGCTAAAGTATTGAAAGGGCACAAGTCAAGGGACTCATTATCTAAAGATAATATTTGGCTTTTGGGGTCCTGGGGCCATCTTGGATCCAAGGATAAGTTGCCTTTCTGCTTAATCTCGGCCGGTAAAGGGTTAGCGTGAGTTTACACAAAAAGCCTCCACCTTTGCAGAATTTACAGTCAACAGTTTGGCAAGAGGCCTGTTGTCGCCAGTCTATTGTGGAATATTTCTTACGCTCTACATGTCGAAGCCTATCGCTAGCTCGCTTGAATAAAATCCTTCCGCCGATATTTTATTTTACTGTTGGAGTCACGTCTGTCCGGTGAACGACACAATACATTGATATCTCACTCAATTGAAATGCCACAGAGCAATAACAATTTGCGACGGCAAACAGCTTGCAAATAAAGCTTGTCTCCCTGAGCGGTAATAAAAAGCCTCGTGTGGAAGAGGTTATATTAGGACTGTGAAAAATCAAATAGATAGGATCTGGAGTGCTCGGTTTGGGCGCAGCGCTCTGAAAGAAGGCTGAGGCTGTCCTTTGTGCTGGGTAAATATTGCACTCCACCACCAAGTCATGGATTTCGGTCGCAAAGAAATGCCTGGAGGTCATGGACACGCGAAGAAAAAAAATCTACACTTCTATACTTTGAGGCTTCATACACATTTGGTCTTTTGATACTGAATATTTGGTCTGACAAAAATGATGAATAAGTGACTTGTTTTACATCAACCGGCCACAGAATTTGCCGTATAATGGGAACAAGGTCAAAGTCTTTTGGTTATTAAGATAGAGACGTGCATCAGTCTGATGCATTGAAAACCAGAACCAAAATGAAGGGTCAAATATGAATCCCGTTTCACTGAAACGAATCAAACATAGATAATGACATCCATTTTAGATCGCCTTGAAATATATTCCGCATGGGAGAGGTCAACAATAACAGAGCCTCTTTTATCATCTGCGGGTGTTAACCTTTAACCAGGGGCAGTGTTGGGATCTGTGTGGAGTCGCACACCCTAACAAGGTCACATAAGCTTGCCATCCTGTCACATGCCTGCAGGGTCCAGACTCCACTTTTGGTTGAAGATAACCTTGCTGAACAACCCGAGTCCTGTGCTCGTGGGCTGAATGAGTCACTGATTATCTGTGTTGACTAAGGTCAGTGACGTTACAGCGCTGGATGTGAAGTGTCCGCCAGCTTTATCTGTCACCTGGCTTCTGTGGCCAAACAGGATCCTGTGTAAGGGTGGGTGGGGCGGCGGCAAAGCTGTCTGGACAATGTAAACAAGCTGCAGCCGGAACTGATCTAACATGCGTGTGTAAGATCATTTCCTCTGTGAATGAGGTCACGATTTTATTGCGATTTATTTGCTTGTGAGCAGCATCACACATACAAAAAAAAGAAAAAAAGTCAATCAAACTCGATCAACACAAACCTTTTAAGGCCTGCGAGCAAAGGAGTGGGACGTTTTCTTGTGTATACAGTATACAGCCGTACATAGTATCCGCATACTGTTGAAGTATATCTATTAGAGGTGTCACAAACACTGATTGGAATCGGAAAAGTGCATCCACTCAAACCGATTCAATCGATTCATTTAAAAATATATCAAGATATGTACAACATTGTCTTTTATTGGAGACAAAAACTGTTCCTGAATTGTATTGAGGTATGGAAATAAATTGCGCTCAATTTGGGACGGACGGTTTCACTTTAAATCATACATCATTCTGCAGGCAATAATGAATGTTTTTTGTTTTATTTGAAAATTTTGGGGAAACGGGGGGAGGATCGGTATCTGCAGGGACGGCAGGTTAGAAGTTGATGGGTCGCGCGTCGAGCATAAATTCCTTCATGTTCACCCCTCAGGACTCAATTTAAATTTCGTCATTCTCATCACGGCGAGTCCTCAACTTCAGCGCTCTGCTAAATCTTTTGATTAGCCAACCAAGATTTTTGCTGGAGTTCCCCCTTCATCTTTTTTTTTTTTTTTTTTAATGCTGAAAGCCTGGTAGCAGATCATTTGCATGAAATAATATCAGGGAGAAGGCATTGCTGAGAATTCATATTTCCGAGCACGCATCCAATAACTTCAATTAAATAAAGACAGAAAACCTATGCCCTCTCTTCAAACCTTTTTGTAAAAATATAGGCTGTCAACAAAGGATTTTGAAACTATTACAAATGGCCTTACCATAACAGCTTTTTATTTGTATTTTTTTGCACTCTACCTTTTTGTGGTTGTCTCTCTATCTCCAATTCTCTCTACAAACAAGCAGGAGCGCGCACACGTGCATTTGGGCCTAGTTTCCCTTATCAATCAAGCGAGAACAAACCAGAAGGCATTCACGGGCCGATAGCAATCTTCAATGTGCGCCATCAGTCTCTCTGTTGTGTCGCCATGCATGTGTGTGTGTGCATGTGTGTGTTTTAGGGGTTAACACAAAATGATCATGCTTGCAGAGAAACACAGAAAAGCAACCTTTGTAGTACCGTGAAAAGTCCTTTCACATAATGTTGGCACACGAGTAAAATTTCCATGTTTGAAGTTAAACACATACATTCACACCGGGCCTGACGACACCCGCGGGGTAAACTCATCAAAATGTGCAAATGAGTAAGCATGTTAATGGCCGAGGGGCTGGAAATAGAAGGAGGAAGAAAGTGGTGAAAATAAAATCGTCAGGTTGGCTCTCGGTTGCGGCGAGTGAGTGCGTGACAAATGCTAGCATTATTGGTGACCCGAAACCCAAAGAAACAGCAGCCCGTGGCTCCACGCAGAACATACAGGGCGCTTTCACTGGGAGAAATTTTCTATCATTTTGTTGGCAACAACAAAATGATTACTGACCGCTCGGATCAATCTCCTGTTGTAAGACATTTCTTGAAATAACAGGGAAGGCATATTTTCCACCTCACTTTCTCCCTTCCACGCCTCTAATAGCGCCACATAGGCGCCCGTTTACCGAGACCATTTTATTTGCTGGAAGTGCATGAAAAAAACAAAATGTGTCACTCCAACCAACGCTGGTCTGCTTGATTACAAGTCTTGCGAGAACGCGCTTCCTCTATTTACATCATGTGTGAAGATGTCATGGTGAACTCCGCACCGTCTTGGGAAGTCCGCCTTTGGAAAGCCAACCACACCCAGCGATGGGATGATTCCTCACTTTTGAGTCCTGCTGGGGGAAACCCCGGCCTCTTTGAGGTGCTGTTTCAAACAGCAGATCATCCGTATGTGGAAATGCACAGTGCAAGACTGAAAGCCATCTTCAAGTTGTTGGAGATGTGATGTTCCACTTACACCAACATGCTGAGTGATCCAGCCCCTTCTTTGCGATAACTCATTTCTTCCAATTATAGCCAGCCTACTTTTTGGAGAGCTCCTTCCTTTCATGTGTTTTTTTTTTTTTTATGCTTCACAATCCCTTTCCTCCAGTTGATGGTATATTTCTCGAATGTGAGGTTCGCCAAAGCAGCCCCTCTTTGTCTTTCTTGCTGCCGCCTGTCAGCTTCACTCTTCCTCTCTTCGGGGGTGAGTTGAAGTGAGGATGCTCGTTTCGCTATCCCCCGCCCCCCACTCAGAGGACCAGATCGCAGTGTTGTGCCATTACCCAGAGCTTGTGTTGTGCCTTGACAGATTATTACCATATTTCATCTGCATGTGCAACTGCCCCCTCACCTATCAATTGCACTTGCTTTGCAGTAATGTCCTAGTGTAGATCTTTCGTCTGATCTCATTTTTTCTCACTGATATGTCTATTAAAAATAATCATAATAGTAGTTGGATGTACCGGTATACAATGCCAAGAACATCCAAGGGTATAACGGGCTCTGAAATCCTGCTAGTTGCTGAAGGAGGCCCTTTTTTTGCGATTCATGCCATTCACGGGCCCTCGTGTACCGCCTGTAAGACTGCTGTCACTGACTCTCCATGACGCCGCTAATTATTCCTCATCATATCCAGGCAGGTACTAATTAGGTCTTTGTTGCTTGCTATGATATTGTTGATACAATAGACATCACTAAGGCTGCAATTGTGAGCAGATTACACATTTTAATACAGCAGGTGAGAATTATAACAATGTGAGGGGAAGAGGGGTGGAGGGGGGGGGACCGTGTTTATTGGCCATGTTTATTCATGAGCGATACTGTATGAATCTCATATCATGATTGAAAATGACTCACTCGCTGGGCACAATCAAGAGTTCTTGACTGGTGCTGATGATGGAAATGGAAAACCAAAGTGACTCCCTTCTCAGTGGATGTGCAGCAGAAGCAAAACAACGAACAAATTGGCTTTTGCGGAGATCAAGAGCTGATTGCCGAATGCCTTCTTTTGCACGTTTGTCATGCGTAAAGCATAATCAGGATGCAAAAACGATCGCGCCGATTGCCGAATGCCTTCTTTTGCACGTTTGTCATGCGTAAAGCATAATCAGGATGCAAAAACGATCGCGCAGGTAATCTTGACGGATACAACGCTTAGGAGACTAATCGCCGTTCCACTTGCAATCATTGGCCAAGGACACAAAGTATACACAGCCAAATCATTTTATTTATGATCCATCTTTTCCCTTCGCCTGACTCTCATTTAAAGTGGGATTGTGATCGCCCTCTTTGCAGAAAAACATCGTTATTCAAATATTTGAAATGACCTTGTGTCTATGGTTTTGTGGAAGACCTTTCTTTCTTTCCTTCACAGGGACAATGCACACTGAATGTGTCACGTGGAACAGAAATAGCTACAAGCTCATTTTTATCTGCAGTCCCTGTGCAGAAGCAGTGATAGCAGGTTTATACATATGAAGTCCAGATCTCAAAACAGATCAAACAGACGTTTTTTTTCCTCACCTGTCCTTCTGCTGGCTGATTCTGGTGACTCTCACCTGGGAGGGCAACACTTCATCACCAAGCCGCCAAGCTTCCCTTGTAAATTAGGTGTGCAGGTCCCTGTAGGTGGCAGAGTTTCAAACACAAATGCAGTGAGGCAAATATAATACTGGTCAAAAGTTTAGACACGCGTTGTTTAGTCAAATCAAGTGATTGTGGGAAAGTTTCCTGTCACCAATTTGGTGGTAACGACGATTTAAGAGGAAGCATGGCCTCTTTTTTTAATAAAGTGCAAGCAAGCCATTCGCTTTTATGCTTTGAGAAGAATTCATCGTTGTTAAAGGGTTCACACAAACAAAACATAGAAATCGCATTTCACGAGATGCGACACACTCTTCACCGTGTCGCAAATGTAATATCCTCAGCTAACAAAAGTTTCATTTAGAATGTAATAAATCAACTCCGAAGACCAAACAAAGAAAACTTGCGTTCTCGCCACAGAGTGGGCACTTTTTGAAGTTGCCTCTGTGCGTCATAGCCATGATGGAAACTGTCAATTCCTGATACCAGAGAGCAGTAACTGACTTGAACCAACTTAGACGATGAAACGTCCGCAAACGGCGCCACTTTTTAGCTTAAAGCCATCGAACTTTGAACGGCTCCTTTACATCGTTAAAGTGGTGATTACGCCACTTGGTGACGCAAACATTCTCCCAAATTCTAGCACCGCAATCACTTGCTCTCTTCATATCCAGAGATCCCGGAGTGCGCCGGCAAAGAGAACAAAGTGGCGTATTTGTGCTGAAAACATTTGTCGTGAACTCTCCCATTGAGACGTCCCTCTGCACCTCGATTGTCCTCTCCATGTCGATGATATCAAACACAACAAATGCATCCCCCGTTATATTCTCCTGGCGACTTTCGCCTCTGTTCATCTTTAAAAGGTCTGAAGGGCAATGTAGTGGCGTTTGTTTGCTGGAATACAATGGGGGCGCACGCTATCTTTGAAGAGCTACTTTGATGCTGTTGGAGGAGGAGGAAGATGGCAAGGCTAATAAGCGCCGCTAACAAAGTCTGCTGAAGAAGAATGTGTGTTAAAGTCAAAGATCCATCACACGTGCAAACAGTTTTCTGGAATTTGGTCCAGGTGCAAAGACTACATAAAGAACACAAACCCAAGCGATCTAAAACGCATCAAATAGCAAGAAAATCCAGCTGGCGTCGAGTCGACGGTCTGGCTTACGCCATCTTCACAAGTTTAAGATATAACCATGCGTGACGGCAGAGCAAATGGAAGTAGTTAGGAATTTTCAGATAAGACCATCAGCGGGTTGCAAAACATGCTCCCGACCACGGGTTAACCTTTTGAAGCATGTGCCCGACTCGTCGGAAATCATGAGATAATTGTCTGTGCGAAGTGAGTGAATGCAGTCAAGAACATCTGCTCATCAGCTTTCTGATCAACCTGCGACTTGAAAACACACGACGGCGTAACACAGACCCACTCGAAGACACAGGTAGGCTGAATGTACCCAACAGGATTCCTGATCGGAAAATAAATCAGATATTTTGTTCAGTTTTGTGTCGGCATTGAGTAGAGGGTACTAGTGTGACATCACTTTTAAGGACAACTTGTCAGATAGAAGAAAGGACTTGTTAATTGCATTGATTACAAACAACAACAAGTGTAACGGCAGCTCATATCACCAAATGAAGCAATTGTTGATGCGACGAAAAATTAAAACGTCTGGGAGAAAGTACAAGCTGTCTGAAAGAAGAGGAGCGCGATATCGACGGACTTCGTCGAACGTGCTAATGTGTAGGGGAATTTCATCAGTCAAATCAATGTCTCCGTCCTCTGCTCCCAGTTGTGGTTTCTTTCATGGCATCTTTTGAGTGACAGGGGATGGATTGATGCGGGTGTTGACACAAGCCCGTCTTCCCCGGCGATACATTTACGCCTCTTCAAGCATTGCATGAATGGACAAGACAAAGCGAGTGATTGTCCATTCAACAGACATTCTTCTTTTTCTGGAGCAGCCAAAATGGCAAGCCGAGTCCACTTATTCAGAACATCCCAGCTCCGCGCGGGGCTCCACTTTGCGCACGCGAGCTGATTCTGAACAACTCTAACACGCTGGCACTCTGCTGTTTTTTGGGCAGTGTCCCCGGTGGGAGATAAGTACGTTGGCAGAGAGGCGGTGAGGAGCTGTGAAGATGGTGCGAGGACCTTCGCGTCGGAGGGCTGTGTCTTTCAGGAAGATAGGAGGGCAGGCGTGATGGGTGACTGGCACCCGTTCTTGAAGCACCAGATGGCCAGCCCGGGGCTCGTGCCAGCAGGGTGAAGGGACCCCGTGTCCCCGCGTGCATCTGCGGCTTGTGCCGGGACTCTGGCAAAGTGGAGATGTTTGGCCAGCCGTCGCCCTTCAGCAGCCCGCAGTACCGAGGATGGAAATTTGAAATGGGCACGGAATGAGTCGAAATGCACCTGATGCTGTGTTGACATGCAGGGAATCGGTGGCAGTCATCCAAATCAGCTCTGAGAGCACGGGAAGCCAGGCAGAGCGGCGTTGGCAGCTTACCTAGGTGAAGTAGTAGAAGTTGGGGGCTCATCAAAAAAGTTGAGTTTAATTAGAGAACAGCCAGATGAGCTGTGGAGCCAAGCAAGTGCTTTCATTTTCCACCCTGCCCCTGATAATATGCGTGTCCCGTCATCATGTTCACGCTTCAGAAAACAACCATTTGTAGGCATTCCAAATGTGAAACATGTTGCTAAATGTATTTTTATTTCTCTTTTTTTTTTTTTTAGGTTTGCAGGTTTTTGTCAAACACATTTAGTAAGGCTAGTGGTAGTTAAGAGTAAAATATATTACACTTTATATAATGGGTGCTTGATTAGGTTAAAATCAACTCGATAGTCACTCTGTCTCTGTCACAATTTTGTTTGTATGCCTGCAGAAATAAAAAGTTGGCTTGGGCAAAGTAAGTTGGATGGCCTCCAATGATTTCAGTACCCAACTCATTCAATCCTCACTGATCAATGCCGCGGTTCTGGTGATGCACCATTCCCTCAGAGGACTTGTGCTCTTCTGTTCTGCCTGAATCAACAGCGGAAGGTGGATAAAGCACACGAAGCCTGCCTGCACTTACACTCTTGGCTGCATAGCCTTTAAAACCCGCCACCAAGTCCCACGGGCGGCTGTCTGGCTGAGACTAAACACCTCAAAGACACCCCACCTCTCCCAGTGATCAATATTTGAGCAGCTTTGTTCTGCCTCGGCTTCCCAATCCTTGTCATATGGGTCCTCGATCCTCTCGCTGGAACGAGCGCCAAGATGCGGCGAGTTGTTTAAGGCCTCTTTTCCGAGGGTGATCCGTTACGAGCAGCTAGCACATCACTTGATCCATTATGGATGAACCGGGGAATTCTGGTCTCGTGTTGTTCACCTGTAATTGTAGAAAAATGACAAGATAACATTGGTGCACAAGAACAAAACAAATCACTCTTTCACGGCATGAAAAAACACACTTTTTTTTTTCACCGGTCGTTCATCAGTCGTCATGCAGTGTGCATGATGCTGCAGAAGTGATACAGCATCACTTGGACAAACTATGTTGTCACATATGTACACTATAACTTGAGATAGTGAGTGAACTTGCTGACGGACATGAAAAACCCAGACCGTTAGTTGATTTTGTGAAACACATCGCTCAGAGTATGTTGTCTTTATGAAGAGCTGTTTAAGTAGTAGCTAAGGGATTTGATGCTTAATTTGGTGAGAAGCTTAAATGTTCATGTGAGTCAAGGTCACTTCAACAAACACGGTATTATTTATGCTCTGCAATGTATTTGTCATTCCTGTTACGGTTGAAAGAGAGCATTCAAGGTTAGTCATGCAGTGTTGCATTTCGAGAAAAATAAAAAATCCTGGAGCTTTCGCAAGCATAATAGCAAGAATCCCCGAATCTTGCTTGAAAATGTTGAGTTTTGGGGTGTCAAAATGTCAACTTTCCCATTGATTATCAGTGTGTTGGGTGTATACAGGACATTTCCAGTGTCGCATGATGAAGTCCCACAAACCACCTGTCAAGACACTGCCGATGTATTTCATTCACGGTTTCCCTGGCAACCCTTTCTTAGCGACCGGCAAGGTTTCAGCGAGAGACAGAGTGCAACAGTGGAGTCATGATTTATAACAGGGCTCTGACGCACTGATATTAACTGACATGCTTTATAGTGTCAGCCCCATTTTTTTTTTTCCTGATGTCTATTTTGATCCTCCACATGAGGAGGTAAATAATTGCAGCCTCCAAGGCGATTTTTTATTTATTTTTTTGGTCAAGTTACTCACTGGACATTTTGATCTACGGCAATGATGTGTAATGAAAAAGAGAGAAAAGTCCCAGATGGTTGGTGGTTTGTGGCAGGTGGAAACGCTATCATTTCAAAAAAGTTTATGGGCCTCTGATGCTGTAACAAGAAAATTAGAGCAGCAACTACACAAGTTATCGGTTTTGGGCTTCGGTTTCTTCATCGTGGGCCAGTGTAAGTGGCAAGGCTGCCTTTCAGGAAGGTGACCAATCGCTATTCTGAAAAGCGTGACGCATCGTCTTGATCACTGCCCATGTTCAGATATTTCTGATGCATGCGTAACCATAAATAAACATTAATAAACAAACACTGCTTAAGCTATAACACGCTTGAAGTATCAAGTAAAGTTCAGCTTGTCCAAACCTCATCCATCATCTGCCGACGAGATCATGTAACATTACTTAATTAAGAATTTAATGCAGTTGCAATAACTATTAGAGGGGCATTTATACACATTTTTTGAAACCATTTTGTCAAAGGAGAGTTTGGAATATCCATCTATCCATCCATTTTCTAATCTGCTTATCCTCACATTTCTCCTCACGTTTTTCAGAGGCGGCCCTTTAACAGTCTGTTTTTTTTTTATATATCAGATTTGTTTTTGTTTTTCCCTATTCAGACCAAAGTGATTGCAAACACCCCACGCGCCTGAGCAGACATGCAGGTGGCTGAGCACTTCTCCTTGACTGACCTTCAAGGATTGCCTTGCACCGAACACAGTCTTTGTCTATTAAATGGCAGCAATTAGCGGCTGGGGCCAAGCTGCGGGGTTATTTTGGAGGTGAGATGGGGCAAACCGGGGAGATGTGGAACTCATGAGGAGAAGGCCGTCCTGAGTGAGCCACAGGGGCCCCGAGAGGGAGCCAAGCTGAGGGAGAGCCAGAAGGTCAGGGATAATTAGAAGCCTTTGTGGCCCTCTCAAGAGGCTCCAGAGGAAGCCCGCAGATGAGTTCTCGGCTCCCAGATATCTTGGAGAGAGTGATGAACAGACACACAACCTGAGGGGGGTCACCGGGAAAGCAGATGCAGCGGACACAAGTGTAAATGAGCATGGGAGCAGACCGTCTCTCGTCTTTATTTTCACATTTGTAAAGCTTTTTTGGTTATTGTTGAATGGAAATAAATGCACTTACAGTGGCACATTTGCGATTCATTTTTTTGAACTAATCAGGCAATGTTTCAATCGCAGATCAACATTCTTACCCGCCATGCAAGCGTAAAAAGAATTTAACTATTGTGAATTGCGAGAAGTAATCAGTTGCATGCTGCCGCGTTCCTGTGCTACAATGATTTTCATTTCCTATTGATTAAAAACATCACAGGCTGATATTTTGCACATTTCCTTCCTTTTGTGATCAGCTGATCCGACCAATGATATCATCCTCGTATTGAGCTATGACAGCCTGTGGTAGGCTGGCTGGCACAAGGCAAGGCAAGGTGGCTTTTTTAAATATGGTGCGTGAAATGCTCTAGGAAACTCAGCGTGCTTCATCTAAGAAGAAACACGATATTTAAACGCATTTACAAAAAAAAAAAAAAAAAAGAATAAATGTTTAAAAACATAGAAAGGACATAAAAAGGTAGCCTACTAAAATTACTAATGTCATCGCTTCACTATTTGCCATCACTGGCTGCCTTTCCCTTGTGACATCACAAAAAAAGAACACAAGAAAATCAACGCACACTGTGGCTTGTGACATGTTTCTTGCGTGGACGGTTGACGGAAAAGCAATATGCAGTTTCAGTTGAATTTGAATTTTTCATTACGAGAATGCTGCTACAACCATTTCACCGCATCACGTTTGCCGCCTCTGTAAATGCCTATATTATTTTACTTGGAAAAGTGCAGCCGGACCGGCATCCGTACTTGACTTTTAACTTCAAATGCCATTCTTATCACTTGCACCCGCATCCCAGCATTCAGCATCACCTTTCTCCGTAACCCGGCAAGAAACAAATCTATTCAAGCAAGCGGCGTTTTCTCCGCCTCGGGTATAGAAAATGCAAAAAGGCGATGATAATAGTTATTAACGACCTGACATTTCTATTCCAACACATACCCACCGCTGCAGTGTTTTGCACGGGGAGCTGAGGGAATCATTTCACGGGCGCTTCAGTGTTTTTGTCTGCAGGCGACGCCGGCGTTGGATGCGGTCTGACATGTGAGACGCGTGCACAGACGGTGTTGACTGCTGGAGTGACATTCATTCTACTGGAACCAGTAATACCAATCAGTTAAATCCTTAACAGTCACTCCGGCGGGCCTCCCAAGGCTGTCTGGGCCCCAACCTGCTGATAGAAGCACTATTATTGGCCATAGCTGTCTGCCGCTCACACAGCATTGCCATTAGGGGTGTTGACTTGGCTATTGCTATGATATGATTAATATAAGAAGCAATCAATATAGCCTTCACTTTTCTACCCGTCTGCGGCTTTTACTCAAGTCCTTTTTGAGCAACACCGAGCAAGGCATGACACACAAATGACCTCGCTGCTTTATATTCTCACGTTGCTGGCGCCACAGCAACATCTTGGAGTGTTTTGTAGTCAGCGTAGTGGATGACGCAGAGGCTAAACAAATGTAGAACGACAGAGGGTCAACTTTCTGCTGCAGCGCCGACATTCCGAGGCGCTGGGAAGAAATTACTTCTGATTGATATTTTGCCACTTGTCACCAATGCAATTTCATCCGGTGACGGTTGGGATTGAAAGTTTCTCCCCGCAGAGATTCTGTGTTTCGCTCCAATGCTTTGTAAATAAGTCGTGTGTGAGTGTGTGTGCGCGCGTGTGTGTAACATTTTAAATGAAGGTTACAGAGGAAGCAGGACTAAGTGGGTTTCCTGGCGAAGCGACATGGGTCACCTGTAGTAAATCTTTTGCGTGATGGATTGTGTGCGTTTGCTGAGCTTTGTCTAATCTGAAGCTGAGTGTTTGAGAATGCTGATTGAACATCATGCATGACATGCAAATATCACATAAATGTCACATTCATTAAGTGATGTCAGGATGTGGGGCAGCCCTCGTTTCTGCTGTGGCTGGAGCTCCCGCCTCAAGGTCAACACTGGGTACCGGGTTGTGGGGGTTGGGGATTCCCGATCTGCTGTAGTGTTTATGTTTGTTTCACGATTTATGATCCAGACATTTTGCTAGCCGTGCACTGCTGTAGGGAGAAGTTGTCACATACTTGTCACGGCCACATCCATCCATCTGTACATTTGCTCCCACTTCCTCTTAAGGTCAAACAAACAAAATGTATTCTTCAAATGTTGTAACAAGTGTCTTTTGAATGTGGGAGAAAAATAATCCATCCAGTCCTGGGGAGCCTTTGCTTTCACGTGTTTACGTTTGTGTTTATTTGTTCACTACAGTCATTATCCATCCATTTTCCGATCGGCTTTATCCTCACAAGGGAAGTCATTAAGACAGACATTTATCATGCTAAATCGTCATACTGGGCCGGTGACACGCTCACCAATCATCCGCGTCTATTGAAGCTACAATAGAGCTCTGCATTCCACATACAATTGTTTTACAATACTAAAATGCCATTTTCACAGTGCGGACGATACATCATTTATGATGTGGTGGGCAGCAAATTTCAATTTCAATACGAGTTAGCCTCCTAAGTATTGATGACACCAAATCAAAAGCTCAAACAGATGGCAGATCCCTTCTTACTTCCGCGGAATGCCTGAGATGAGGCGCTTCTTGTGTCGTCCGGATGACTCTGTGAGCAACTGCTTTGGCCTCCCCCCCCACA